TGATTCGTTGATTGATCTCATCATAACTTCCTCTTCTGATCATGTGATTCAGTTTGGACAGCTCTCTGCTCCTTGTTTCTCCCGACATGACTTGATTTACTTTTCATATAAACTCAAACCTCCAAAACAGAAGCCTATTTTTCTGCAGTTACGCAATTTTTCTAGAATAAATATTGAGAGTCTCAGGAGAGACGCATCTGCAATTGATTTTGGCACTTTGGTAGTAGCTTCTAACATCGATAATAAAATATCCTTTCTTAATAATACCATCCTGAATTTGTATAATATTCATGCAGTACATTGTGTAAAAGTTAAGCGTCCTCCTGCTCCCTGGATGACTAAAGGGGCAATGGCGCGGCAAGATCGGGCTTTCCAGAAGTTTAAAAAGGATCGCTCTGAACAAAATTGGTGTAACTTTAAATTGCTAAGAAACAGATGCAATCAGGTGGTACGAAATGCTAAACGCCGCTACATTCATGACAAAATAACTAATTCTTCACCCACTGATGTGTGGAAATTCCTTAGATCCTAGAATATGGCTCCTCTCTTAATTTGGATGACATTAATCGTCACTTTGTTTCTATTACTTCATTGGACCTTCAAGTCCGTTCTCAAACTATTGCTTCTACAGAATCAATGCAGCTTCTCCGGATCCCTGATTTTTATTTCTCCCCTGTTACTCAGGATGAAATAAAAAAAGCTCTGTTAGCCATTAAATTTAAGGCTGTGGGTTATGATGCAACTAGTAAGCAAATGATATCTATGATACTTGTGTATCTACTTCCAGCTATAACACACATTATAAATTATTCTCTGGACTCAGGTCAATACCCTTCTGCATCAAAAAAGGCTTTTGTAAGACCCCTTCCTAAAATACCTAATACTGAACTCCCTAACCATTTTCGTCCTATCTCAATTCTCCCATACCTCTCTAAAGTTCTGGAAGCCTGTGTTTTTAAGCAAATATCAATGTTCATTGCAAAACATAACCTACTGAATGAATTTCAATCGGGGTTTCGCTCTGGTCACAGCACTACCACTTCGCTTATCAAAGTCACAGACGATATAAGCAAAGGCTTGGATGAGCAGAAATTAACAGTGGTAGCGCTTATTGACTTTTCAAACACTTTCAACACGGTAGATCATGGTATCCTCCCATCTATCCTCAAACACCTTAAATTTTCATCCCCAGCCTTGGAGTGGTTTTTTTCTTATATTCGCGGCCGCCAGCAATCGGTTCGTTCAGTTCAGCTTTTTTCTGCATGGGCTGAAATTGAATCTGGTGTGCCGCAAGGCGGAATACTTTCTCCTATTATGTTTTCCTTATTTATAAACTCTATCTCCTCAGTTTTAGATTGTTCGTACCATCTGTATGCGGATGATCTTCAGCTCTATGTGCAGTCAGAATTAAATAACCTTAATTATTTAGTACATAAACTAAATAATAACCTGAAAGCCATAAGAGAATGGTCGTGTAAATATGGCGTTTCAGTTAATCCAGCCAAATGCAATGTTATAATCTTCGGTAGTTCATAATTATTGGCTAAGATTGATTATGGAAATCTCTCTCCTGTAATTTATAATGGAACTCTGATTCCATAAAAAATCTTGGCTTGTACATGGCCAAAACTATGACCTGGAAATTGCAGATCTCTGAAGTACGTCGTAAAGTTTCAAAACCACGCTTACGCTTGTTCATTCCTTCATTCTACCTATTATAGATTATACAGATGTATGTTACCCAGATTTATCACAAAACCTAAACAAGTTGGAGAGCCTTCTTAATAATTCCATAAGGTTTATTTTCGGTTTACCACGGACCACATATCTTCCTATCGTTCAAAGCTTAAATGGCTACCTATAAGTCAAAGGCGATGCTCTAGAATATTACTTGTACTTTATTCAATTTTAAACGATCTAAGGTCGCCTTCTTATCTTAAGGATAACTTTCATTTTCTTCATTCGATTGACGGTCGAATACCACGACAATCAAACCGTCTGAGGATAAGGTTTCCACAGCATAGGTCTAATTTTTTCAGATCCTCGTTTACGATACAAGCTATACATCTTTGGAACACCCTCCCCGATGATATTAAGAATGCTACAAATAGAAACTACTTTATATTTCTTCTACGACAACATTACCTGAAGGCACTTACTAACTGACGTTTTTCTTTCTTCAAATATTTATTTATTTATATATTAATACGGATATTTATAAAGTTTATAAGCATGTATAACATTACATATATGTATGTATGTATTATTGTATGTAAATATATGTTATATATATTTAAATATATGTTGTGTATGTATGTACCTACTATGTATATATTATATTTTAATATAAATACACTTTATTTATGTTTCGCACCTGCCTACGAGGAAAAGTACTCGGCCTAACACAGATCCATTCAATTCTAAAAATCAAATCTACCTACATTATTTAGTTCAGTTCAGACTAGTTCATTGTGTGAAGTTCGAAACGTGTGCGATAATTAGTTGTGATTTTATAAATTTATTAACAAAGTAATCGGACATAATTTCCGCGAATGGAGCAAATCGAGCAGCGTGCCGTCATTAAGTACCTCCATAAGAAGGGGCTATCATCAAAAGCCATCCATGATGACATGGTCAGTACATTAGGCGATTGTGCTCTGTCATATTCATCCGTCAAAAATGGATAGCAGAATTTAAGCGTGGTAGAGAGAGTGTGAAAGATGAACCCCGCTCTGGAAGGCCTTCGACGTCAACTACTGACGAATATATTAAAAAAGTACTTGATTTAATAATGGGAGACCGCAAATTAAAAATTAGAGAGATAGCCGAGATTATAGACATCTCTTATGAATGAACTTAAAACATCATTGTCAACGAGTTGGGTTTCCACAAGGTGTCTGCGAGGTGGGTTCCGCGACTGCTTTCAGTTGAACAAAAAAGGACGCGATTGACTATTTCACGCGACTGTTTGGAGTTATTTGAAGCCGATGCAGATGATTTTTTGAATCGTTTTGTTACTATGGTCGAAACATGGGTTCATTACTGTACACCAGAAACAAAACAACAATCAAAACAGTGGAGAAGACCTGGTTCACCACCCCCTAAAAAGGCTAAGTCGATTTTGTCGGCAAATAAGGTGATGGCTTCAGTATTCTGGGACTCGAAAGGTGTGATTATGATTGATTATCTTGAAAGGGGTCAGAATATAAACTCTGATTACTACTGCACCTTACTACGTCGTTTACGAGAGGAAATAAAAGAAAAACGTCGAGGAATGCTCAGAAGAAAAGTCCTGTTTCATCAAGATAACGCCCGTGTTCACACGTCAGTACAGTCAATGGCTGAAATTCACAACTGTGGCTTTGAACTGTTACCGCATCCGCCGTATTCACCTGATCTGGCACCATCAGACTTCTTTCTGTTCCCTAACCTAAAAAAGCACTTGGGAGGTCAAAGATTTTCGACAAACGACGAGGTCAAAGCAGCTGTAGACGCATATTTTGACTCTAAGGAAGAATCATTTTTTTTAAACGGTCTAAATGCTTGGAAGGGGAGGTGGCAAAAGTGTATTGAACTTGATGGTGATTATGTAGAAAAATAAAAATATAACTGATTTAGTATTTGTTTATTTTTTTGGTTAGGCCGAGTACTTTTCAATCCACCCTCGTACAATTGTCTTTGGTACCCAGGGTTGACTGGCAGAGAATGCCATATGGCATTAAGTCCGCCCTATTTACCCTTTACCTTAAGGTGTTACGTTTAAGTTTTTAAATAAAAAATAAAATAAATAAATAACTTTTGAGTTCTGTTACTCAAATATGAAATAATAAATTTAAGAGAATCACTTCTTACACCGTAGTGTTAAAGTTGCACTCCGAGCTTTTCGCATGGTCACCTGTATGTAGGCGAGTAACAAGTGGTCAAAATTGCGCTAGCGTTAAATAATAAATCTTACAATGTACAGTGCATATCAATTTTACTGCGGTAGGCAACTTCTAATTGATTAATTTGTAAATTTATGGCTATTTTTTTGAACTCCAAACAAACAGTGCTGGGTTGTAGCAAAAAAAAAATATTTGTTCCGATGAAATAGTGTCATTTTGCGCAGACGCACTCAGGTATATACAGATGGCCGGACAATTGACGTCATAAATTTTTTGTCATGTATGTTCCGCAATTTTTGATAGTTTTCGAGTTATAATTTTTTTTAAATTTTTTGGTAAATTTCGTCTTGACTGTCTTAAAAAATAAAAATAAAAATTTGAAGACTTTTTGAGATTTTTTTATTTTTGCAAATGAGTCTTCATAAGTTTTCCTTTTACGCATAAAATAATCAACTTCGTATCTTTACTAAAAGTAAAGAAATTTTTGGTCTAAATTTAAAGATTTACGTTTTGTGAGTTATGTCTTAAATTTTTAACTAAATTAAAAATCTAAAAAGGTGGAAATTCAAAATCTAAGCCTGTATGAAAAATGCGCCAGGCTTTCATAATCATAAAAAAAATTAGTACTTAATAAGACTTATTTGGCTAAAATCGGTCTTCAAAAACAGCAAGTTGGAAAATTATTAAAATTAGCCAACTTAATTTTTTGCCATAATCATCATTCATAAGGCTAATTTTGCCTTAATTCTTGTTCATTGTGACATTCACGAGCGTATGCTATATAGCCCCAAATGAAAAAATCTATGAGATTAAGGGCTGGTGACCGTGGAGGCCACGAAATTGAAAATTTTATGACGTCAATTGGTCCGGCCACCCTGTATATATTGGCATGATAATATTGTTTATTTTAACAAGTCTACATGCTTTTAAACTTTTGTTTTCAAAATCAGAGTTGGCGTTGACGTTGCCATAGACATAAACGAAACTTCTTAGTATGTAGAAGACTGGCTAATTTTGCTAATTTTATTTTTGACGTTATTTTTGTGCATATTGTCAATGTTTACTTACCATGATATACATATTTTAGACATTTTTTAAAAATATTTTTAGATTATAATGGGGAAAGAAGATGATTTTAATGCATCAATTGCTCATGTGGTATTGTGCTGCGTTGCTGGTCGTGGAGTGAGTACTCTGCGGTCAAACAACTTTACGCCACCTGGAATGCACGCAAATCTTTTTTTACATGGAGTGATTGGATTCCTACATTATCAAAGTTAGTAATTTCCACTAAGTATACACAATTAGTAGTTTTGGCGGGAACTTGACCGCCAGCGAATTGCGGCTCCAGTTTCACCTTTAGAATAATACACAGCTTGTAATGGATTTTGATAGGTAAAAGTAGTGCGTATGTCAACTATTAGTTGGAACGATGATACAAATGCTCCGATGATGATATAAAATTCAAGTTATTTTACTGTTTAGACGCTTTGAGATTTGAAAAACTATCTGACAATTTAAGCTGTCGAGGAAATCACCTAAAAATTGCAAATCGCAATTGATAATAAAATAATAGTACTTGCTTCTAATCGCGAGAATATGCAACAATCATAACGCTAAATACTTAGACATATTAATACCAGTCAGTAGACGCTGCGCCCCAAGAATAACTTTGATCTAGATAAAGTCAGTCTCTGTCCTACAATTTTTAAACCCTAACATCGAAAGTTAACTCATTACATCAAAAACGACCCAAGCAAATATTTCGAAGTTATTAAAAAAAAACACGTGAAATTTTGAAACGATAACTTTCGAACGGATCAAACGATTGTGATGAAATTGGTAGAAATCGACGAGGTATTTTAAGAATAATAATAAAATTTATTATAAAACACGATCAGATCAAAAATTAAAAAGTTATGTGAAAAAAAACCACTATTTTTCGAAAATTTTCGTCATCGATTTTTCTTCAACGCATTAAGCGATTTTGAAATGAATTTGAATTGAATTTTGATATTTTCGAATTGATCGATACATCTGTTTAAAAGTTATCCGTATTCGTAAAAGTATATATAACACATGCACGCATACACGCAGCAACGCACGCACGCACGCACACACGCAAGCACGCATGCACGCACGCACACACACACGCAAGCACGCATACACGCACGCACGCACACGCGCAGACATCTTCGTAGGAATAGTCGGATAGCTTCCTAGGACCTCTAAAAACCCAAAACTGGATTAAATCAATAACTCGCCGATTTTTCGAAAATCATTCTTAATTATTTATACGTGGTAGAGCCATGCTGCAGCTATATTATGATTGTAGCACAAATGGGTCGGCTCGACCGGGGAAGGACCACGCTCTCACAGAATACCAGCGTAAAATAGCAGCTTAACGCTGCTGTGTTTCGTATGGTGAGTGTAGAGAACCGGAGACCCTTTTTACTGGAAATGAGGCATTACATCTTAGTCCTCACGGGTGACAACGCATCTGCATTTTGATTCGTAATCGAAGATAGATGTAGATGTCTATGGGCCGCAGCAACCACTTACCATCAGGTGGACTGTGGGCTCGTTTGTCACCCTTATCCTATAAAAAAAATTATAGTTTTTTTTAATATGCTATTTTTTAACAATAAAAATTACCACTTTAATAGTAAAAACTAATAATAATAACAATATTTGTTGCAGGTGGTACATTTAACAATGACTTTGGGCCTGCCTATAAAATAAGTTACAAGGCGTCACGATATTTACCTTTACCATGTCTAATGGCCGATTTGTATCGCGGTAACAAAAACCTGAGTATGCTGCATCTGGCATCTGGAGTTATTCCTTTCGCTCTCGCTTTAGCAGGCAAAGATGACAGAGATTTGGGAAATTTAATGATAGCTGGCAACATCATTTCGTTATGTCATTATTCACTCGAGCACAAAAACGATTGGGGATGGTGTACGGCCGGAGCGGCGGTCTTTGCCTATTTCTTAACTGCACAAATGGGTCCGAAGGTCATGTATCCACTAGGATTGGCTCTAATGGAGTATTGTGCGTATAGAATTTTTTTCGTTCAACGTGATAACCCGCCGCCGCCGCCTCGGAGTTAGTTTTGTAAAAATAAAGTATTTTAAATTAAAATATGGAAATTTATTTCAAAAATCTATTGTTACTGATCTATTCTACTGATTTGACAGATTTCATAGCGGGGACGTTAATTTGTTTCAAAAACTTAAAGGTTAATGTTTCTTTCTGTACTATTTTATATTAATTAGATTAAAAATAAATGAACCGAACAACAGATATTCACAAACGTAGAAAAATTAAAAAAAAAGTTTAAAATGTGAAAAAAAATTTGAGCAAAACTCTGAGGCATTGTTTTGTGTATTAATATAATACTCTAGAAACGGATAAACAGAAAATTATTAGCCTTCATTGCGGGTTGGGCCAAAATAAGTTATTGAGTTTTTCTGTCAAAAAACTCTCAGTAAGTAACGGCTCGGAATGAGGAAGTTGGCGGTGTTTTCACTCCAAATGTCTTCGAAAGCACGTAAAGCCGTAGGTCCTGCGCCTGATCTCTGTCCGGTCACGGATTACCATCCTATGGGACTATGAGAGTGAGAGAAAAAGAGTGCACACACTACAAAATAGGTCTCCGGTACTCTACACTCACCATACGAAACACAGCAGCGTTAAGCTGCTATTTTACGCTGGTATTCTGTGAGAGCGTGGTCCTTCCCCGGTCAAGCCGACCCATTTATGCTACAACTATACTATTAATATAGCTGCAGAATGGCTCTTTCACGTAAAATTGAAGTGTCTGTTTGTAATATCGAAATAACTGCCTTATACTGAGGTTAGAGGGTATTTACATGTCATTAATATATGAATAATCATTTTTTAAATTTTTTTTCTGACTGGGCTGATCTTCGGAATGGCTGAATCTATTGTAATGAAACTTCACGAACCGACAGTGAAAGCAAGGCCAGAATTGATCTAGGCTTTATCTAGGCTTTTTTTATATAAAATAAAGTTGATAAACTGTTACACAGTCTACCTGACGGTAAGTGGATGCTCTAGACCATAGACTTACGTCTATCCTATGTAATAATGTGTGCACTGCTGGTGTCTTATAAAACAAATAAAAATAAAATAAAATAAAAAGAATTTATTTCACACTTTTGTTCCATAAAAGTGTTATTTCAAAATATGAACTTTCAAAAATTATGTTAGTAAAACAGAGTAAAAACTACACTGTGACATTGAATTAAATATTTCCCGGGCCAGTTTGTGGCACTTGTTATATAACAAACACATCGACAGGCACACCTGCGTCAGTCAGCTTAGCCCAAAGTATATTATATATAACCAGGTCAAATGTCTTCGACATTGAGTGAATGAAACTCTGTAGTACTTGACAATGTGCTTGAGTGACATAATCGCACATTCTGTTGATAGGCCAGGTCTAAAACCAAACTGGACTTCATGTAATTCTAGACGTTTTATGAGCTGTCTATCAAGCAAACCTATTGCACCGTAGCCAATGAGATCGGTCGGTAATTGGCTTTATCGAAAACATCTGCCTTATTCTTTATTATCGGAACCACGATTATTCTCATAGCTCAGCTGGCAGGTAGGAATGACGCTTACAAACAGCATACCCATGAGTCTCGGTAAGTGTGGCCCTGGCACTGCCTATAGAAAATGCTCTGTGCTGAGGCTGTCGTGCTCCGGCGACTTGCCTCGCGTTATACTCTTTATCACCAATAACACTTCTTTAGCATTAATGCGATCCGGCACGACAGGTACGACCTCTTCCGCATTCACACTTTCCCCACCCTTAGACAAGGTTGAACTTGAAAGAAAACCTTGAACAAATTGGCAATATCTTTTGGGTTACTGACGCCATCAATGCCCATCGGGACGCCAGACTTAGGACTCGTCTTTTTTGTTTGTTTTCCAAAACCCACGAAAATCTTTATGTTTAGATGCCAAAATATTACTTTTAATAATTTCCTGGTTGTTCTGACAGTATTTGTGTCTTTTTGAACAGTTTTCTAGATTCACACATGTAATTATACAGCGGACCACTATGAGGTCTACCATACCAAACCCAATTTAGAAACTTTTGCCCGACATCCCGATGAGTATCCCGAACATTTATTTTATTTTATTTATTTATTTACACACACACACACACACTTAACAACTATCCTTACAGGCTAAACAAACCCAATACGATAGTGTCACTAATTTACTTAAATATACTATGTATTACAACTAACTTACATAACTAACTATGTATAAAAGTACCTTAGCGAGTTCACTCAGATTACTCGAAAATATGTCAATCCTCTCATCAACTTTATTCACTACTAGGATTGATCGGACTATAGGTGAGTTATTAAACAAATTGGTCCTGGCCACGGGCACCGCGAGCAGCGGCGGGCGGCGTCGCCTCCACACGTACCGGTCCGGTGCGCACAGCTGCATGTGGCGCAACACCCCCGGGTTGCATGTGGCGCCACGAAGCAACTTAACATGTTTGTTCCACCCCGTATTAGACCGGCTGCGCTTTCTGTTAATACTACCCGTACCCACATAGCGCAAAATCGCGACTTCTTGCAGTGAATTTATGATTTTTTGATGCAACTTATCTATTATAGCTAAAATCGGTATTCCTCAACAATTCATTACAATACTTCGTGGAGCTCTGTATATGGTGGACATGCGATTCCCCCAAATGACGTTGCTAGAGTTGTTATAGGATGCACTCGGCAGTCGAAGCGTAGGCTTCACGATTGACATATTACAACCGGTCTCTAAAGGGAAGTGATCAGATCAGTACACGTCGTAATGATCTTTGACGGAGATCACTAAACATTGTAAATAATAAATATCAAATATCACAATCCTATGAATATATAAATAAATTAATAAATATCCTCAACTAGGAATTAAAATACTGATGCGCTGTCAACCATGAGGACTAAGATGGACTGCCTCGCATCCAGTAAAAAGGGGCTCCGGTTCTCTACACTCACAATACGTAACACAGCAGCGTTAAGTTGCTATTTTACGCTGGTGTTCTGTGCGAGCTTGGTCTTTCCCCGGTCGAGGCGTCCCATTCGTGTTACTAAACATAGCTGCAGCGTGACTCAACCACGCATAGAATTACTAGCCTATCATTACATTATCCACCAACAGTGAAGTGGCAGTTTACGAATATCGTCCCTCTGGTGTCGTAGGGGGAAACAAACCAGAAGATAGGAAGTATAGCGTCTTCCCATTAGAATCTTAAACAATAATAAAATGCGGTGCAAACCAAAGTCTATGGAGGACGCCTATGTTCCTGATAACAGCAAAATTACAATAAAAAAACTGCGGTTGCCAACCCGCTCGCCAAGCGTGGCAACTATGGCAAATGCCCCCCCATGATGAGAGTAACAAAGAGACGGCCCCCAGTCCCCGGCGGCCTCGCTATTCCTGGCTACGGTGGCGACCATGGTAACGGTGGGGCAGGGGGTGCTAAGAATCTCCGGTGGAGCTTCGGTTGCCACCTAAGATGACTCGACCTGGCAACATACAACGCACGCACTCTAAGGACTGACAAAAAGATCGTGGAGCTGGAAGAAGAGATAGACAAGTTACGCTGGCATATTACAGGATTATCCGAGGTCCGAAGAGAGGGGGGGGAAACGATAATCCTCGAATCCGGCAACTTGCTCTATCACCGGGAGGGCGACCATCTGTCCCAAGGAGGTGTCGGATTTATCGTCCACAAGTCTCTCGTTAACAACGTTGTAAAGATCGGGAGTGTGTCGACGAGGGTTGCATACTTTATACTCAGAATCACCAAACGGTATTCGCTGAAGGTCATACAGGTTTACGCACCAACCTTGGCTCACCCCGATGAGGAGGTGGAGGAAATGTATGAGGATATCTCTAGAGCCATGCATTCCTCCAAAACCCATTATATGGTGTTAATGGGAGACTTCAACTAAATAAACTAGACACAAGAGCGAACGGTGAGCTGAAAGTAGGGAAATTTGGAATAGGACAACGGAACCCAAGGGGCCCGCAGCTGGCCGACTTCATGGAGAAAGAGGGACTCTCTATGATGAACTCTTTCTTCCAGAAGCGGCACCACAGGAAGTGGACCTGGTCGAACCCCAACGGTTCGACAAAAATGAGATTGACTTCATTATGACGACCAGACGACAACTGTTCAGTGATGTCTCCGTGATCGCGAGGGTGAAAACTGGTAGCGATCACCGAATGGTCAGAGGCACACTGAACCTAAACGTTAAGTTGTCTAATGAAGTCAACGCTCCGTGCCCCTCGTGTTCTGTTCCAAAGTCCCGAAACCTTTCAGCTCGAGTTACAAAACCGTTTTCAGTGGCTAGAAGAATGCAATGAAGTGGACGATATGAATGACAAGCTCGTGGAAACTGTTCATGCGGTCGGAGCTAAGTTCTGCAAGACCCGCCGCAGAAGAACACAAAAACTCTCCGATCACACGCTTAATGTCATGGCTGTTAGATAGGAGATGAAGCTACATTCTTCAACAGATTTGAAAGCATACAGGCAACTGAACAGACAGATCTCTAAATGCATGCGGTGGGACTTACGCAACTTCAATACAGCTTGTATTGAAGAAGCGATCGAGCGAAATCAAGGCTCCAAAGTCTTTGCCAGAGATTTGTCTGTCAGAAAGAGCTAACTGTCAAAGCTGAAGACCGAGTGTGGCAGCATCGTTTCCGGGACACCTGAGATTTTGAGTGAGATTGGGAGGTTCTATGGGCAGCTGTACACGTCAACGTTGGAGCCACACGCAAGTGTGAGTAACGATCCAAGAGCGAGTCTTATCCGACATTATTCCGATGATATCACGGACGTCAGTCTGAGCGAGATTAGAATGGCTCTCCAGCACCTTAAAAACGGAAAGTCCCCTGGCGAGGATGGAATTACAGCGGAGCTTTTGAAAGCGGGTGGAAAACCGGTACTTGAAGTCCTTAAGAAGCTCTTTAATTCCGTCCTCCATGGTGGCACTAATCCGGATGCGTGGAGCAGAAGGGCGGTGGTCTTGTTCTTCAAGAAAGGCGACAAC